AAGTGGCTGTGGTGTTGAAAGGAGGCGCTTGGGCCCCAGGTTGAGTGTTTTGTTTTGTTATTTGACCACGGTATCTGTTGCGTACTAATTTCCTTTCAGACTTGTGATGAAGTCAGTAAACCACAGCCTGCCGCGAGTGCTCTCCGGGCTGGTGCTTTCCGCTGCGGCACGCACTTGACATGTCCGTTCCCAGGGTCAGCACGCCAGTCGCGCTCGGGCTCCAGCAACATGGACCAAAGGGAGATTCTGCTGCAAAACCTGGGAAGGGCCCAAGGCAAGAAGCTCAGCCGAGAAGAGTTTGTAGACGAGTTTTTGGTGAGTTTGCTTAAGGCACGGCTCTGTCTTTCAGTTGATTTTAAAGGGAACCGCTCAGTCACTTCTCCTCAAACAGGGATGTGACTTGCACATGACAATAAGATTTTCTATGAATTATTTTACAGCAGAAAGAGACGCAAGACTTTACTGGGGTAAAAGGAATGTAAAGGCAGAAGAGTAATTTAATAGTTTAGATTCAACGTAAAAGTGTTTGTTTTTTAAATAATCACCCGGGTGCTTCCTGTTTTCTCCTTTGCAAATGTACTTGTCAAGACAGTTTCACTTTGCCTGGTAATAAAACCAGGGGTATAGCAAGGAATGTGGACCCACTGCCCCTTCTCCCTGTTGCGATCTGTCATACCTGTGACAGACATGTGCCTGCCGGGGATCTCCGGTTGCTACTCGAGATCGCTTTTCGTTTTTTCCTCCCAGTAGAACCCCCCGACCCAGCTCCTGTACCCCTGCAGAGCAGGGAGCGGGAGTTCAGGTAAATGCCCTGTGGACCCCGGACCGCTGCTCCTCTCGCCGACGCGGGGCACCGTGGCCGAGGCGTGCGGGGACGGCAACCTGAGCAGCTGGACGGGCCCCCGCTCCAGCCCCCTGCGCTGTGCTGTCATGTGGAAGGGCTCATGCCTGCGTTCGCAGCGGGTGCGTGTGCTCTGCGTCCAGCAGTGCTTCTGGGCCCTCCTGGAAATTAATTTCTTGTTCCCCAAAGGCAAAGCTAGCAAAAGGTGCTGATGGCTCCCCCCTTCCCCTGCACTCTGCGGTGTCTAGCCAGTTAAGATCTGTGAGGTGCCCCAGTCTATGAGCTCTCCGACATCTTTTTATTTGTTTGGGTGGCAGGGGTGAGCCTGAGTGGGCAACCCGCTGTTGCACAGTTAAAGGTGATGGCTGGGGATGGCTGCTGGTCTGTCAGCTGGAGGAAGGCTGCTCTGGCAGGCTGTCTGGGCTGCTCTGAGAAGCGAAGGCATTGCTCAGCTTTAGCAGATGGTACATCTGTAAGATCTGAGCTGTCTCAAACTCCAGAATAACGACTGGCCCCGAGCCACACTCCGGACAGGGGCCGCAGCAGGCAGTGGTCACTGGGGAGGTGCAGGGGTTACTTAGGAGTCCCACAGATCCAGCCCTTCTTTGTTGTACCAGTGAAGACTGGCACTTCAAACGCTTGGGAAAAGCTTAGCACTTGGTTTCCAGGTGTCTGGGTTGAAGGGAAGTGATTAATCTGAGCCTGCAGCGACAGTCTGTTGTTCCATGGAACAAAGCGCTGTCACAGCCTGCTGAATTTCCCTTGCTGGTGTGCTGGGGTTGTGCCGTGCCATGCGAGGCAGCAGGCTGCCGAGCCCTGGCCCATGGGCTAGTTCTAGCAGCCAAATGTACAGTTAATTTTCTGACCAAAATGGCAGGTAGAAGTGGTCAAAGCTGTGTTTCCTCTTGTACTGGGAAGAGATCTTCCCAGGATGGCTGAGTCGCTGGCCACTTTTGCAAGTGCAGAAGCCTTAACAGGGAATTGTGGTGGTTTGCATTTCCAAACTTGGTAGAAACGTTCGATGATGTTTCTCCATCCTAATGCCTCCCCTCTCTTTCTGCGAACAAGCATTTGTACGTGCAAATTGTGGTGTTGTTACTGTAAATGACAGGGGAGCTTATTTAAGTCCCCTTTTTCTGTTTGTGCAGTCTCACAGCCAGAGTTTGATCCTTACTGCTCTCGCTTGCTTTCTCATATGTAGGCATTTCCCAAGCAGTTTTATGTCAGTTTATGCAGAGACAGAAAAGGAAGGCGATTCAGAGCCTCAGCTATGAGAAGACTAGCTGCTGTGATGCCCCTTCCATGAAAGCTTGCCCTGGAAGCTGGGGCTGCATTGGAAGGAGGCAGGGGGAGGATGCGACCAACACCAGAGGAGCTCAAGAGATTACAGGGATTGTAGCGTAGAAAAACCATCCTGCTCCCACAGCTTCTATCACATTGTGCCTGCCCCCATGTTCTTGATTAATAGAGGCCGGCCACATGGACTGTCCCGGGCCTCGCGTACCCACTTCCCGACTCATGCCATCCTGCTCAGTGAGATGCGACTCCTGTGGTATTGTAACTGGAGACCGGAAGAATTCAGCGTTTAAAAATTGCAGTTTAATGTTAAAACCCAGCAACTCTGAGTTGGATCTGAATTGGAATATCTGCGTACAGAAATACTGCGGAGATGAGATACACGTTGCTGTATATACCGTTTGGCTGTGTAATTGCTAAGGCTCAATCAAGTATATATGAGCTACAAAGCCCTTCAGGTCCCGATGTGGCCTTTTGGCAAACACCATCACTCTGTAGCTTAACGCACCCAGGCCCTGAAAGCTGTCGTGTCCCACCGGTGCTTGCCTAGAGCAGGCTGGAGTCAAGGGGGCGGTTCCAGCTCTCCCACCACTGCCCACACGTTGGATCTGCAGCAAGGAATGACACGGGACAGGATTCTAAAAACTGGAAGAAAGTTTTCAGGAGAGCTGAAACGCCGATGCTTATGAGCTCCTGTGGGAAGGTCACTGGTGAGCTGACTCCCGAAGTGATTTATGGTGAGCACCCAAAAATCAGGGCCCTGAAGCCACCAGGACTCCCACGATTCCTGCTCACATGCTGTCATGCCAGAGCTGCAGCCTCTGAGCCCTCGAGCACGCCAGGGAGGCTTTGCTGGTACTGGCAGGAAGGTCTGCCACCTCCACAGCACTGACCCCTGTGACCACGGCGACATTTTGGCTTGGCAGCCCCAAGGCTGGCTGGCGGGCTGTTTTCCCCATGCCGTCAGCGGCTGAACCCCGCTCCCGCTCCCTGCGAGCAGTTCAGGCAGGTCGCCATGCACATGGGGCATGAGAAACCCTCTCACCTCGCAGCTCAGGTGTGCCCGTGGTCCTCTCCCTTTGCTTTCCACCCCTGCACACCTTTCCTTCACAAAGGCGCAGGGTCCTGAGGGCTGTTCTGTGCCAGCCCGATTCTCCAGACCTTGTCAGGGATGTTCAGGAGACGGGCTGTGAAGGTATGGCTCCAGGGTGGTGGGACAGGGAGACTTGCCCTTTGGAGTGTCAAGCCATAGAGCCACTGGTTAGAGAAACAGACCTTTGTTTTAAATCAAAAGCACGCCTTGGTGGCAAGAAAAGTGGTTAGGAAAACAAAAAATGACAAAAGAAAAAATACAACAAGAATAGTGCTTTTGAAGTTGGTGGTAACAAACAGTGTGTTATTTAGAAGCTGATGTCAGCGAAATAAAATCCTGTGCTTTGGTAGGAAAAAGTTACTTGAACTCTCCAGGAGTGCTGTAGCTTTATCCTAGAAATGAAGGAGATGAGATTGACACCTCTAAGGGTTGTCCTAAGGCTCCTTCTCCCTTCTCTTTCATCAGCGCATGCAGCTACTTTCCTCCGATTGCTTGTGCTCCTTTAGTGCCTTGAGCATTGCTGTTTGCAGCTACAGATGGGAGCATCTTTGCCAAAGTGAGAAAAATCAATTGATTTATCTGTCTTTTCTGATATAATTTGTTAAAGGTAGTTTAACATTGTTACTCCTCTTATCTGGGTGCCATTTATACTGAGAATGATTCACCTATGTCTCACTTATTTGTGAGGGCGATGCTTTATGTGCTGCATAAACGCATCTTTTGACTCCAGAAGCCTACGTGCCTGAGCCTCTCTTGTGGGCACTGCCGCGGCACACACTTTCAACTCTGCAGAAGCCTATGCTGGGGCTCTCGGGCAGCTTCTGTCTCTATTCTCACTCCGAGTGCCTTGCGAAAGCTGCTCAGGAAAGAATTAATGGTGTAGACCTTGCTTTGTGGTAGCGAGCCTGACCCCTAGACACCTTCACACGTGCTTGCTAGTAGTGTGTTGCATGTAGCACATCTGCTGTAATTTGTTCCGTTCTTTTATCACAGAAGCTGAAAAGGCAGTCAACAAAGTACAGATCGGATAAAATCTACCCTACAGCAGCATCTGAGCAACGAGAGAACATCAAGAAGAACAGATACAAGGACATCTTACCCTGTAGGTTGGAAACAGCAAATGTTCCTATGCAGTTTGTTTTTTTTTTCCCCTACCTTGAGTCTCTTGTCTTCTGCCTGCACAGTTGCTTGCATGTGAGCGTGCCACTGGCTGTTAGTTGGCCTTGAATTCTGCTGCTCAGATTTAAGGCTTTGACTGTTGCAGTGCATGCTCTGGAAGACTTTGGCACGTATTTCCTAGAGACAGAAGAACTTCAGTAGGAAACACATCCTCTGATTGTCCTTGCTCCTCCAACGCACCTTGTGCTGCAGTCTGAGGAGTGTAGCTACCATGAACGACAAACAGTAACTGCTGCTTCTTCTGCTTTTGTGCCTGCAGTTGACCACAGCAGAGTGGAGTTGTCACTGATCACATCAGACGCAGATTCTCATTACATCAACGCCAACTTCATCAAGGTATTGCTTCTTTCATGGTGTTTTGCCAGCTGTTGGTGCTGTCTGGTTGAGTTGTGCCAGGAGGAGCAGGTCCTGTGGCTGTAGTGAGCAAAAGGACCATTCAGCAGCTTCTGGGCTATATAAAGCAGATGTGTACCATCAGTGAGCCCTTCACAAACACCCCTTGCAGCACAGAGACACGAGGCTGCAGCGCAAGGGATGTGTGCTCACGCTGGGGCGGGCAGTAGAACAGTTTGCGGCTCACAGCCCCGACTTCCTTGTCGCTGCTGTTGCCTTTGGTGGGTGACAGTGGTGCAAAATTGCCTGTGGCCAGAATCGCCCTGCCTGAAACCAGTGCACAGGCAGGAAGCTTTGTACTGCAGCACAGCTGAGACCCTCTGCAGTGGCGAGCAACAGGGCAGATCAATGCAGGCCGGTTCTCCTTCAGGACCTCCATGTGTTTTGGGACTCTCCTGTGCTTGTGACCCTTCTCAGATAGATAGATAGATAGATAGATAGAAGGTTTCCTTCATTCTCCGCCATAGTGACCAAGAGCTCTGTGTAACCCCTCTGCAGAAGAACAGACCTTCACGAGGGGATCACGGTTCGTTCTGTGGCCAACAGCCACTGATGTGCTAAGCTGCGCACTGCACAGCTGGACCAGCTGTTGCAACATGACCTCCGTGCTCCCAAATGCACTGTAAGAACTGGTGGTCTCTGGGTGCAGACCCCACCTCAAGCCCAGCTCCCTGGCTTGGGTCTGCTTTGGGAGGTTTGCATACCATTGGTTTCTGGTTGCTCAATTTAATGTACGTGCCTAAAATTTAACTATATAAAAGCCTTTCCAAGTCCTTAATGGGGTCATTGGACAGAAGATTCAGAAAGAGGGATGGCTTTTATTTCTGCTAATGACCTATGCAACTATGTCTCCGTGTCTGATTTGAATGCTGTTTTAGGGTGTCTATGGGCCAAGAGCATACATTGCAACCCAGGGTCCTCTCCCCACTACTGTCATCGACTTCTGGAGGATGATTTGGGAGTATGAAGTCTTGGTAAGGTGCAGATTTATATGCCTTCCTCTTTTTTTAAAAATAAAAGTTGTCCGTACAGTCAGACAGAAGTACTTTTTGACTAAGCAGAGCTGGGAGTGTCAGGGTTTTACTCCAGACATTGTGTGTGCCCTGCATCCTTCCCATGAGCCTTCTCTCCACAGTGATGCTGAGACAGGAGTCTGCTCGTGGCTGTCTCTGCATTTGGGTTCTGAGCGGGAAAGGTCCTTGTGGCGGGGCTGTGGATGATGTCCCACGTCTGATTTGCCTAGCCGTCTGGGACTCTGGGGGAGGCAGCCCACAGAACTTCCCCATTGCTCATAAGTACATGCAAGATACGAGTTTGATTTTGCTACCTGGATAAGAAACTTGTGTTCAGACTTTTCTAATGAACCTTCTTTCTGCAGATTGTGGTCATGGCTTGTATGGAGTTTGAAATGGGAAAGGTGAGTAACGTGTCGGAGGTGGCATCTGCCATGACAGCACCAGGGCAGGGTGAAGAGATGCAGATTTTTTATTAAATCTTATTAGTGACAGCAAGTTTCTGTTTGATACGAGCTGTTTCCTGAGTCTCTAGCTGCAGATTCTTAAACTGTTTCCAGTAGAGCAGGTAGCCTCTTCGAAAGGGGAAAACCAGCAATTGTGGCTCCAAGGAAGCAGAGGCTGGGGGAGCCCGGGAGCGAGAGCCAGGCTGCTCCCAGCACGAATTTTGTCCTGCAAAGTGAGGCAGGAGATGGTGTGGGTGGGCTGGTGGTGAATAACCAAATGTGTCCTGCTTCTCGCAACAGAAGAAATGTGAGCGGTACTGGGCAGAGGTGGGCAGCTCTCCCCTGCGGTGTGGTCCTTTCTCTGTCGCCTGTGTGAGTACAGCTGCTGCAAGCACCACGTGGCATCACGCACCCTGGAAACTCATGTCATCCGCAGCAAACGTGACTCTAACTTCTTGTTCTGCAGGAAGCTGAGGAGAAGAAAAATGAGTATGTGATTAGGACTTTGAAGGTGACCCTGAATGAGGTAAGTAGCAAAGGTCAATGCAGGAAATGCATCTTGGAAAGCTTTATTATATAAATAATATATTAAAATATGGCACAGTTTGTGCAGAGTTTTATGTTGCTCAGCTTGCTATTTTAGATTTGACAGTAGCTGAAGGCACAAAGAAAGTAAAAAATTAATTAGCTCAAACCTCAATTTCTGAAGATGCTTGTCAGTCATGGTAGATCAGACCCTGGGTAAGTGAGGGCCAAGAGGTAACATCAAGAACATCATAAAATGGCAGTGCTTCTTCTGTAGCCAGAACAGCTGCAAACAGCACCCCAACCTTTGCCCATGGATGCAGAGGGGCCCAGGGATGTCTGCAGAACGGCGGCTGCTGTGCCGGTGTCCTGGCCTGCGCCCACGCCAG